CCATCGGTAGAACATCGCACAATATCTTGTCGAAATAAACAGAACCAATGGATAGATTAACAAGGCAGCGTTTGGAAACGGTTATCTCGGTGCCTTTCGATAGCCACGACATCTTGTAAGGTGTGGGGTGCGCCTTTAACTCTAACTTTAGTTTATTCGCTGCCCTTTCAGAAATTATATTCTCACAACATCCAGAGTCAATAATCAATTGACATACCTTCCCCTTAATCGTGCAAGCGGAATGAAAAATGTTGGTGCGCAGCCACCCATCTCCGGTCTCATCACGAGGAGATTTTTCTCACCATCAGAAATTCACCAGAATTAGCATGCACTATTTGCTCATCACCTGCGGACTCTTCAACATCATTCACCTCTTCTTCGAGCGGATCCTCCACATGCTCATCAGAATCGTTATCCACTAAGAAGGCTTTGCCGGCTTGTCGATTCTTGTTCTTTTGGCAATTGCTAGCACGATGACCCAACTCACCACAAGTATAGCAACGAATATCGGACGTAGTTGGTTGCTTAAAAATGTTGGGCTGATTAGGAAACTTACTAGCGGTTTGCGTCGTAGCCTCAGCAACTTTGGTGGTGCCGGGGGTACTCCTAACGGGTTGATTGGTCATGATAGAGGATTGTTGCCTCCTTGAGCGAGAAAGCTCCACCTTGAGTGCTCGTTGGTGTGCATCTCCTAAGTCCTAAATATCAAGGACTTCCAGGGCATCTTGAATATGAAGTTGAAGGCCATTCAAGTACTTGCTCACAAGCATTTCCTCCGGATCTTGAATGTTGTTGCCAATCACCAACTCATTGAATTCGTTGGTGTATTGGTCCACCGTTCGCGTACCTTGTCTCAGATTTTGGTACCTTTGATAGAGCTCTCTCTTGTATCCCTTAGGTAGGAAATACTTTCGGATCTTGTCTTCTATCTTCCTCCACGAGGTAATTGGCGCTTTGCCAACGGATTGGCGAGTTTGCTTCTCACGCCTCCACCAAGCGATGGCTTTACCTCTGAATCGCATAGCGATGATCTCGACTCGACGATCCTCCAGAATATTTCGATGCTCAAACACTTCATTAACAAGTGTTAGCCAGTCAACAATTTCTTCAGGAGAATCATTACCTGAGAATTCCGGAATATCCTTTTTAACTTCTTTTTCCCACTCCGGTTCACAAATGTTTTGCTCGTGACGTCGATCATTCCTCCGATTGTGAAATGGTCGAACATTCTCCGAAGATGAAGAGTCACCATTAGAATCTTCGGTCTTGGAACGAGGTGGTGAATTGTTTCTTTCCACCCTCGGACGCTTAACTTCTCGCATCAACTCATTAATTTGTTGTTGCATATGTTGTTGCAAATTGTTAGCGAGCGTATGCACTTCATTCAGTGGGATGGTTCTGCCTCCATGACGTCTAGCTTGTCTTGGCGGCATGGTTCTCTCCTCCAAAGCTCTGATACCAAATGATGCAGCCTGGTGTAGGCTACTCGAACGTTAGGATCGGGAGAGTGACTTGCACACGTGAAACATGATAAACAGTAATTACAGTCCTGCTCAAGCTCGAGAAAATGGATGTAACTTCGTCGATACAAATCGGAATGACCTGATTCCAAAGCCAAATGAACAAAGACTTCTGGATTAACAATTTCTCTGTTTTGAGTTTTCTCAAATAAGCATTATATGAAGGGTGAAATCGGGGTGGAAGTGGACGGATGTAAAGGGACAGAACAGAGGAAAAGATAGAACTTCATTAGTTGCTCTTCCAAGCCTCCAAGGAAGTGGATAGGGCACCGATTCTTCTAGATCGATGACTGCAACTCTTCAAGGATGCAGATTTGAAAATGTCCAACTCTTCAACGATGGAGTGAAAACTCTTCTAAATTTTCAGAAGTATGAACTCTTCAAAGTTCAAGATAATTGCTTGATGCAAAATTTTTATTAATCAAATTCGTCTGTCGAATACATAAAGTAGATGGTCTTTTATAGCCAAAGATAAACAAATGAAAAGACTCAAACAAATGAAGAGACTAAAGAGCATTAAAGACCTTAAAAGGCATAAAACTTAAAAGAACTTAGAAACTAGAAACTAGATAAATGCCCAACGTCTTCTTCATCATCCCAAAGTATCTTTTAGGCTTCCAATGTATAGGAAAAGACAAGGACTTTATTGTAGCATGGACTCGCGGATGAGACTCTTGGTCTTCGAATTGCGTCCCTATCTTCAAGACTGGTCGAGCGACTTGTCGAGCTCGGATGCGGACTGATCTCCTTGGTCGAGTGAGCTCGTCTTCGATGTGGGCGGCATTATCAATCTGGCCTGCATCAGATAGTTTGGCATATTCCCAGCATCTCTTTGAGGCGTAGTATTGGACCATCCTTGATTCTGTGAAAAACTTCCCACGTTCTGAGCAGCCCCCATGTCTGGGGATGGCCTTCCACCCATATTGTTGTAAGGCATCCCTGCCATATTGCTCTGAGGTGGCATCTCACCCATGTTATTTGACAGCGGTCCACCCATGTTGTTTTGGGGCAGCATTCCATCCATGTTGTTTTGCGGAGGCATCCCACCAAAATTGTTTGGTGGCATTCCACCTTGGTCACGTGGAGGCATCCCGCCGTAGTTGTTTGGGGGCATTCCACCTTGGTTGTGCAGAGGCATCCCGCCAAAGTTGCTCGGTGGGGCCATTCCACCGCCCATATTTGGTGGGGGCATGTTGCCTTGAGGTGGAGGGTTCTGCAACCCTTGGTTATGCATAGGTGGCATGTCCCAGCCTTGGAAATCTCTGCTCTGCATATTTTCCCTCCTCCTTTCAAAGTTACTCGATCTGTTGAAAATACCGGGTAGATAAATAATCGAGTTCCTCTTGTCAGCTGGAGTAATATTTCTCTCCCGACCTTCATGGTACTTGGGGTCATAAGGAACTGCTTGCCCGTTAACAAAAGGTTCGCCTGACAAATGCGGAAAAAATACATTATGACATGGACAAGAGAACGCACGAAAGAGAGGCAAGAATTTCACTAAAGCTAGGTCTTGATTGAGCTGCTGCAGTGCAAAGGCAAATGATAATAATACCTACAGTAACCAAAGGACTGACATGCTAGAATAATTAGGCCTCAAGCTGCTACATAAACTCATGACTCGTTCAAACAGTAACCATGAAGGCAAAACACGACATTTTTGTCCATTGCTAAGCCAAATTTGGCTAGATTTGCAGTTGGAACGAACTTTTCTCTTTCTAAACATGTTTCCATTAAGCAAACTTATCTGCTAAACAGTTAATAATTAACAATTCATGTCTTAATCACTATATTTAAATACTAATTAACATAACAGATCATGTGCAATATCTATCCATATAATAGTCAAGTAAGTACAGTCGACAAAGAAAAAAAAAACCGAAGCAGCAAAATTGCCTCATGAAGAATCAGTGAAATGAAAACTTTAGTAGCGGTTTTCATAAATGAGAGGATGTAATCCATAGGATGCAAATTCATCGCAGGATTAGAAGATCAAGCTTCCATACCCCCATAATCCTTATTCTTGTCATCAAGGTATGAATCAGGAAGAACCCATCGAACTCTAGGCAAATCTGTGTTACAAAACAGAACAAATTAGCAACACTTTCCAAAAAGAGAAGCGAAAGAAAACCAAGAAACTTTACCCTTGAGTTTGTGAGAAAGCTCTTCAGATACAAGGGCTCCAAATGCATAGTAGTGCCTTGTTGAAACTGAGTAGATCTTCATTCTGGCTTCTTCTTCACTGTAATAGCAAGTAACAAATTGTGATTAGACAAAATAAAAGGGACAGCAATAAATCAAAATAATCAATAACTACAGGCAAGGTCTATCACTCCAAGTACCATTCGCACAAGAATTAACACACGAGAAACTTTTGCTCCTGTACCCGCCAAATATCATTCATAAGCATTCTCATAATTACTATCACACTAGCTATGATATTGTAATGAAGACCAATTTCAAGATGTGTTCACTTCACATGAAAGGGAAATATGTCACACCAGGCACTGAAAGAAAAAAAAAATAACAAACCCAATCATCCCTACATGTCAAAACCAATTTTAAATCAAAAAACAGCATAATAGTCACAGCAAACCAAATACTAACCGGATTGAAAGTTTACTTAAACCAGACCGCAATATATCTTTGTGTCATCCTATTTTTACACCTCGTTTGGAAGCAAGCATAGAAAATTCGCTCATTTCACCGTCCAGCATAGATAATTCTAAGCTGAAAAATGACTGATAAATCCAATCGGTCTCAACCAAACCTTGTTCATTTCATTGCCAACCATAGCAACACAAACAAACAAATTTCCACACAGAAAACAATCCTGACAAACAGATAAGACCACTATCTCAAACTCACCGACCTTCCAACAACCTGTGCAAGCGTCTTAATATAAGAATCGATGATGTCATCCCTAGTAGGATCGCCCTCCGGCTTCTCCATTACGACGAGCCAGTGCTCAAAGTCGCAACCCAAGGACCGCTTCCGCGAGTCGGGATTCGGATCGTCGAGTGACGAAGGAGCCGACCTCGACCTCGTCGCGAAGGAGCGGGCGGTGGGCGGAGGAGCCGCGGCGACTCGGAGGAGGGAGGAGGGAGGGGGGCGAAGGCGAGGCGCGGAGGCCGGAGCGGAGGAGAAGGGGAGGGATCGAGAGAGGAGGGAGGTGAGGGCTTGCCGAGGCTTGGCGAGGAGGAGTGAGCGGGTGTCGAGCCAAGTCGCCATGGCAAGGGGTTTTGGATGCGCTCTAAAAACCTGAGCTGGGAGAAAATATTCAGTGATTTACACACGCCACGTCACGTGCATACGTGGCGTGCGTAAACCCAGGTGGACCACTAATAATAAGACACGTAGCTGTGACGTGGAGTAAAAAAATAAAGCTATATTTGGTTTCGCTCTTCTCTGACGCCCTAGGATAGGAGACATTCTCTCCTCTGTGCCTATAGAGGAGGCGTGAGCAAGGAAACGAAACAATAAATGCGTGCATTAATTGTTGTGTCTCTCTCCCCCTCTCCCTCTCTTTTCTCTTTCACGCTAGTTTGAATTCCATTACTTTTTCATTCTTCTCCTTCCCTTCCACGCTTCTTCTCATCTCATCCTTCTTAGCTTTTCTTCTTCACTTTCATCGTCAGTGGCTCCGGAAACCACCGGTGAAAAGCGGAAGGCCGGTCGCAGCGGCTGGGTCCCGAGACCCCCTCCGCCTCCTCCTCCGCCCTCCCGCCTCTCGCCTCCGTTCTCCGCTCTCCGGCCTCCGCCTCCCCTCCCGCCTCCGCCTCGTCGCCTCAGCCTCGCGGCCTCCGCCCTCTCACCTTCCGACTTCGTCCTCCCGCCTCCGTCCTCCCTCCTCCGTCCTCCCGCCTCCCCCTCTCGGCCTCCGCCTCGTCGCCTCCCCCTTGCGGCCTTCGCCTCAACCTCGTGGCCTCCGCCCTCCCGCGCCCGTCCTACCGCCTCCGCCAGCCTCGCGGCCTCCGCCTCCGCCGTCCCACCTTCCGCCTTCGTCCTCCCGCCTCCGCCTCCGCCTCCTTCTCCGCCCTCCCGCCTCGTCGCCTCCCCCTCGCGGCCTCCGCCTCGTCGCCTAAGCCTCGCGGCCTCCACCTCCGCCCTCCCGACCCCGTCCTTCCGCCTCCACCTCAGCCTCGTGGCCTCCGCTGGAGAAAAGTCGCCTCGGCCCTCCCGCTTCCACCTCCGCAATCAGTCAATTTTTTTTTTGTTGGTGTTAAAGGTTTGACTGATCTTTCTGCATAATCCCTTTTTTTTTTAGAAGTCTCTTAAGTTATATAACCCATTATTTGTGGAGATCAAAGTGACTTAACTGAGAAAATGATTCCCAGGAAAGTTTGGAGGAAAAAATAAGACAATTAGAAAGAGAATATTTTCTCTGATTCGTGGGTCTCAAACGAGGTAAGCAACTTTCTACGCCATGATTCTTATTGTTAGTCAAATTTTACTGGGAAAGGATTCAGTGTCTTTCATCTATCTCTCAAGAACAAGGATGAAGGCAAACAGAAGCATGGTGTAGAAAGTTGATCACCCCTTGCCTCCTTTTTTTGTTAATCAAAATATCGATCCGACATGAACGCCATATATTTTTACTTAGTACGGATATAACGACACGAGGTTGAAGGAGTTGAGAATGCTTGTCGAGGCATTAATTTATTAAGAACAACTTTGTAGGGAAAACTCAATTCCCGATCGTCACATTCGAAACATATTCGGAACGAATTCGATCAATGCGGAAAACGTGCCCAAGGATCATCAACTTGTATCACCGATCGTACAGGCATATCACACAACAAACATACCCGGTATTGTCACAGATTAAGTGCCACTTTGCGCTTGAGAGTTCTTCGATCGTCTTTCGTACTCACGTGTGTTCCGAAGCAAAAGCAGAGAATACGTTGTATCGAAGGAGTGTGTTTGCACATATGAAAATCACATCTGTTTTCCAAGGGGTGCCTTCTATTATAGATAGGCAAATAACTATCTCGTGGGCCCTTGTGGCTCACGGGCCGGGTTTGGCCCATCTTGGGCGGTCCACCCAATATGTCTTACATCTCCCACTCACCCACGATGGGCTAAACACAACTCTCTTCCTTGCAAAGTTCATATTGGCAAATAATCCGTGCGACCAGCATACTACGAGAGCTCGTTGTTATACATCTGTTAGGAATATATAACAGCTCAAATTTGGGCATTATCCAGAGTAGAATTAGTATGCAGTTCCCTAGATCAACCAGTCACAATTTTCATCTCTCTTGATCTCTTTTAGTATCTCGTATATTGTATTCACAACTATGATTTACTCAAAATCATAATTAGTCGACCTGTGAATACAAATATAGAATGTGACATCATAAATTAAATTGATCTTCCTCTTTCCTTAAACCTCTCCATTTCAGTCCAACTCGCTTTTCTAGAAATGCCCCGTTAGAACGAATTATCATGATCATCGGCAACATCCTAAGATAGCAAACACTGAATAGAAATTTTCAGAATAAGTAAGAGTCGTGAGGGCACTTTAATTGAGAAGAACTATTTTCTTCAAGAGTCTCACACGACTTAAAAATTGAGATCACAAATTTTTGCCAACTCTTATCGGTCGTCCCATGTATACGTAATATGAAATACGTATTACGGTATTCTCTCCTTTTTCCATAGAGCGTATGTCTTTACTCTCAATACCGTACATATGATAGTTTAGACATACTCAATGTCTAACTTGAGTTCACCAATCTACTCTATTCATAAGCATCTATCAGAACTCACATCTGGCATTAAAGACAGGTAAAGTGAAATATGTGGGTCATTTCACTTTCGGACATAATAATCCATATGTCCTCATCTTAACATTCTGTTAAGGCGACGTCCATGCTTCAAGCTTGAGCTCTCAATTATCACCTAGATAACAAGCTTAAAACTGTCTCATCTCTATTCATCACATAGTGAGTAGAGGCGATTACCCGTGTGAGTGGGCTAATCTCTCATCTGTCCGACATAACTTTTCAATATAATGCACTCAGCATCGACATTCACAAACGTCATACAAACTTATAGGCATTGATAATAACAAACTTCATTAATAGTGAACATTCTGGGAAAATTACAATATTCAGTACATCATATTCTACACAGTCCTAGAGATCTCACATGACCATGGAAAACTTCTCTAGGAATCGGTTTCGTCATAGGATCTGCTATCATCCTTTGTGTAGATATGTACTTCACGTTCACTTCCTTTCATGCAACCATGTCTTTGACATAGTTATACTTGATATCTATATGTTTGGTCTTTCCATGGTACTTGGGATCCTTAGTGTACGTTATTGCTGCTTGGCTATCACAATAGACCAATACTGGGTTTGCAGCATTCTCAGTAACACCTAAGTGATCCAAAAATCTTCTAAGCCAAACAGCTTCTTGTGCCGCTGCTGATAGAGCCACGGACTCGGCTTCCATTGTAGATAAGGCTACACACTGTTGTTTCTTACTGCTCCAAGATATGGCGCCATTATTCAGTAAGAATACGTATCCAGAAGTAGATTTCCTTTCTTTTAAATCTCCTCCCCAGTCAGCATCAGTATAGCCTTCAAGGTGTAGATCACTTCCTTGATAAGTCAGCGCATAGTCGGCACTTCCCTTTAGATATCTCAGGATTCTTTTGACGGTGATCCAATGTGCTTGATCTGGATTGGATTGGTATCTACTTACCATTCCAACTGCATAACAAATATCAGGTCTTGTACACATCATAGCATACATCAAGCTTCCGACAGCACTAGCATATGGAACTTGTTCCATTTGCTCCTTTTCTTGTGAAGTCTTAGGACACATTCTGTCGCTCAATGCTTCGCCCTTTGCAATAGGAGTATCTATTGGTTTACAATCTTGCATACGAAATCGCTCAAGGATTTTATTCACATACGTCTCTTGTGAAAGGGATAATGATTTCTTTGAGCGATCTCTAGAAATCTTAACTCCAAGAATGTATGCAGCTTCACCCATATCTTTCATCTCAAAATTGGAAAATAACCAATTCTTGACTGTATTAACCAACTCCATACTGCTTCCGGCAATTAGTATATCATCAACATATAATGACAAGATCACAAATTGATCTTTGAATCTTTTGATATATACACAATTGTCTTCACTAATCATTACAAAATCATATGCCATTATGGCATTGTGAAAACGTATATACCATTGTCTCGAAGACTGCTTAAGGCCATATATCGACCTCAATAGTCGACACACTTTGTGCTCCTGGCCTTTTGTAATGAAACCAACAGGTTGTTCCATATAAATTTCTTCCTCTAATTCTCCATTGAGGAATGCAGTCTTTACATCCATTTGATGTAATTCAAGATCCATACTAGCTACTATTGCCAGAATAAGGCGAATAGAGGTAAATCTAACCACAGGGGAAAAAGTTTCTTCAAAGTCAACTCCTTCCTGTTGATTATATCCTTTCGTCACAAGGCGAGCCTTATACCTCTCTATTGAGCCATCAGCCTTACGCTTTATTTTGAGAACCCACTTGTTCCCAATGGCTTTGCGTCCTTTTGGAAGGTCAACCAATTCCCAAACTTAGTTTGATCTTAATGACTCCATTTCCTCTTCCATTGCATGTATCCATTCTTCCTTATTAGGGCACTTTAGAGCATCGTTCACATTCTTCGGCTCATCTTCATCTTGTGGGGCGATCATGAAAGCTTCTCCTTCAATGTCAAAACGTCGACGGGGAATCCTATTACGACTTGACTGTTGTATGGAATGCTGTACTCCTGATGATTCACCCCGTTCCATTGCGCTCCCACTCGAATGAGATAATGGTGGTGTCGTCTCTTTAAGTGGTTGCAATTGAGACTGGGTTGCATTCAACTCTCCATTTGTCACAATGCTCCCACTAACTTCACTATCACGATCCACAGATTCGTATAGTGAGTAATCACCACCTACTTCACCCTTTTTAGGAAATTCATTCTCTAAGAATGTGACATCCCGTGATTCAAATTCAGTTATACTTCCGCTTTCTTGCTCACCTATGAATACATATCCTTTTGAGTGCTCTGAGTATCTTATAAAAATACTCTTTTTGCCTCTTGGGCCTAATTTTCCATACTTGTGAGAAGACTCACGAGTATAGACAGCACAACCCCAAGATTTTAGAAAGCTTAAATCAGGCTTTCTGCCTATCCGTAACTCATATGGAGTAGAAGCAACTGATTTAGAAGGCACACGGTTAAGTATGTTGGTAGCAGTCAACAAAGCATCACCCCAAAAGGTGATTGGCAAGTTAGCATGTGCCATCATTGATCTAACCATTTCCATTAAGGTTCTGTTTCTCCTTTCCGCAACACCATTTTGTTGAGGAGTATATGGAATAGTCAGTTGTCTTTCTATTCCCTTTTCATCACATAAATTTCTGAACTGATCAGACAGATATTCTCGACCTCGATCGGATCTTAATGCTTTTATTTTCTTGTCTAATTGATTTTCCACTAAGGTCATAAATCTTTTAAAGCAATTTAAAGCTTCGGACTTATGAGAAATCAAATCGACATGTCCGAATCGAGTATAATCATCAATGAATGTGATGAAATAAACAGACCCGTGCCTTGCTTTTACATTCATTGGACCACAGATGTCAGTATGGATTAATTGCAAAAGAAATTCAGCTCTTGTTCCTTTTCCAAATGGTTTCCATGTTGTTTTTCCTTCTAGGCAATGCTCACATATGGGCAAATCAACCTTTTTAATATTGCTCAATAAGCCATCTTTAGCCAATCTATTCATTCTTTGTTGGCCAATATGACCAAGTCTAGCATGCCACACGTTCACATCATTTTCATAAGAATCAGATGATGTAAATAAGGAATAACTAACATTAACTTCACAATAGTCAACATCTAATACAATGAAACCATCTAAGAAATATCCGGAACCATAATAACTTGTACCTAAACACAAGTCTACACCATTGTTATGGAAGTTTACATTAAAACCAAGTCTAACTAAAACCAATACCGAAACTAAGTTCCAACGAATCTCTACAGCAAATAGCACATCATGTAGGAACAATGTGCGTCCACCGCGCATAAGTAGTTGACAGGTGCCAATGCCTCTGACCTCCACTCTTGAATTGTTCCCCACGTATATCCACTTCGTTCCTTGTGGAACTCGTCGGAACTCCACGAAAGCTTCTCTGTCCTTCGCTACATGGTCTGT